AGGTTTTATGCAAAGACTGACATTTAAGAAAGGATGTATTAAAATGTAAACCCTGGTAGATACTCCTAAAGTCGAAGTTGATCAGGCAATAGTAATTTTTTTTTCGAGCACTGAACTACCGTTTCGGGTTTTGCTTAATATTGTTATTCCTCATAGGATGTTCAAGAGGAACACCATTCAGAATTTCCTCATAGGGTTTTGCTTAACTTAGATTAGGATGGGGTTCCTTTGACCTTATGGTTATGTATATAACAAGGACCTATTACGTATCCTTTTTCCACTCAGAAATCTTTGAATTAAAAGTGTGTTGCAAGTCAAATGCACCACTGATATACAGTAGACACAATTCGTGTTAAACTATTGAAATGTTTATGACCCTTTCCAATGCACGGACAGTTAACTAATCCGATACGCCATCATCTCTTGAGGTAGTGATAATCATCTCATTTTTTCAATCAGATGTACAATACGCCATCATCTCTCGGAGTATGCGGGGAAGTTTAGAAAAGATGCAGCAATGGTGTGGTGAGATGACATACATTCTATGTGACGACAATGCACATGCTACTTTGTATTTTATTTATTTATTTAATGTATTTTTATTTGTTAACTTTTGTAGGTCAGAGATAATAAAAATTGATGGCTTCGGATGATGCTTTGAAAATTTCGATTGACAAAGTCGCAGATGTAACTATGAGCGATTGGACTCAAAAGTCATCCAATTTTACACAATGAGATGCATACAAATAATTATTCTTTCCTTTTATATATGTTGCACATGATAATACTTTTTTTCGAGGGGTATATGATAGAGATGGAGATAGATTAGGTTGATGTTCAAAAAGAATCCTTCGACAAGGGCCTGCGTCAATTTCGTTGGAAGGAGTAAAAAATTCACAGAATTTTATACAACAATCATAAAAAAGTTAAAAAGCCCGTGGCAACGCACGGGCATTCTACTAATGTTCCTTTAGATACAACTCAATACTCAATAGTATTTTGTTTATGGCAAGTCAAATCAGATGTGTTGAGTATAGTGCATATCTATGTATTGGGCCCACCTCTCCTGGTTAACCTGGAACATTCCAAAGCCTAAAGAATTCCTTCGAGCTTAGGGGTTGCATAAGCGAACGAGCGGGAAGTAAGGTGGAGAGTAAAGCTATAAAAAGTAGGGCGGACAACAAGACTCGACTCACCATTGTCTGATTTAGGCGCTGCAGACACAGGTAATGAAGGGTGACACAGGGAGGGGCAGAGAGGCACTTGCGATGGAGGTACGTGTCTAGATTCTCCCTCGTCTCCATAGACATGGAAGAGATTGCCGAGGTGTGCTCTTGCGGGGGCTTGCTATCATATGGGGTTTGCGCTTGGACATGCAAGATGTGATTTCTACTGTTAAATATATATGGCCATGGCTTGTGGTGTACTGTGTGAGGAGCCCATGGAGTGACGGTGTGAAAGCGAGTAACCATGATTACCATTCCGTACCAAGCATGTGGTACATTTAAATTTGTATGTTGCAAGTCACCGTAGCAACGTGCATACCATAATGAAATGAAATAAGTTTATGGTTACTGTCATTTTAGTTAACCAGGTCTTTGTTTTAGTTTCTTTTTCTCCGGTATACATCACATTTATTTTTCTTTATGTTCCTTTGCAGTCTCAAAACTGTTACCTTCGTTGGAGCCAAAAAAATCATTGCACTAAGTGCGTCTTTCATTATTTGTAAATCAGAAATTTAGTGTGCGGTCATTTCTCGTTGTATTCCATCTGTATTCGACGCAGCTTACCCCAAGTCGCCTGGGTGGCAGCGGCGGGGGCGGGGGTAAATATGGATTCAGTCTGTGTTTCTTGCTACTATTGTCACACATGCTATACAATTTTGAGAGAGAGAGAGATTAGCCACATGACAAAGAGTGAAG